TGTAATACATTCCTGCAAACAGAATGGAGGGGAAAAAAAAATCTGTTTTCATTCACTCGAATTTGACTCTGTAAGAATGCTTTGCATGCTGCTCAAGTTGTACGCAGGCAATTGTAGAGATTGCTTGGGTTTTCATCAGATTTTGAAGAGGTGTAAAATGGTATCCTTAGCTAAGACATTCCATCAGTAGTTCTCTTAAATAACCAGGGTGTCAGGAGGGTAAAGTTTTAAGTTTTGTTCAAATGCCTTAGCGGTCTGTGAGCAAAGAAGTTTCACAGTGGGATTCGTTATTGGTGTTTGACTGATTTAAGTGCTTGAATGTTAGAAATGCTGAGTTATGTTATTCTGTTTTGCCTTCTGAGTGATTTGTTGTGTAGATGTAGGACAGGCTAAGACTCAAATCAGTGTGGATGGATTTTAGATAGGTCAAGGGAGGTGAGGCTTACAGGTACCTTATTCCGCTTCAGCCCTAATTCACCTTCTTGTTTTATTAGAAGGGGTAGTTGTAAATATCTCTAGGGACGTGTTATAAAGCTGCATTAAGCTAGTGTTAGCGTCTTAACGTATTAGTATTTAGCGTCTTGTAGTATTAGTGTCTCAAAGGTGATGAAAGTACTGCCCTTAATATATATGCAATATAAAGAGTAATATAAACACTGTATCTGCTTACTACAAAAATATCAGGCAAAATACTAAAGCATTTTCTAATTTCTAAGACTGAGAAGGGTCGTTGTGCTGCCAGAATATTCTGAGAAAAGTAAAGTCATGGTGATTAAAGGCTTCACTGATAGTCTGTTTCCGTGTCCAGATTGCCACAGACTTGCCTTTGGTCTTTTTATTTCTAGATGTTTTAAAATATCTTTCTGGGGACAAAAATTTCATATAACGTTTTGCCTGCCTTTTTCAAGCAAGGTCCTCAGCTATTGTTCCTCGTCACTCTCCTGCAGTTCCCTTCAGTGCCCATTAAACAGTACGTCCAATGTCTTCCCCTCTACAGTAACTGACTGTATTTGCCTTGCCTGCAGGGGGTGTTCCATGTGGGGACACGGTGGAGTCCCATGCTTGTGGCTGTCAGGAGTGAGCTGTGCCCGGTGCAAGCATTGTGTTGCCTGCACTTCTGTCTGTTAGGTGTATGACACTGACTACTTAGCCTTAATTTCTGGAGGGATTAGCATATACTTTCCATTTGTAAAACCTGGTGTCCTCAGGACCACGGACCAAATATTAGTGGTGTGGTTCTGCTGGCTGCCATAGGGTTACCCAGGAGGAGCTCCAGCATGGCCTGTGTAAAATGCCATGTGGCAAGCCTTTCAAGGCTTCAGTGCATGTGGTACAATGACATGCGTAATGAATTATTAGACTGATTCAAAATACTGAAAAAGGTGCTCTGCCTCTAATGTTCCTTTAGAAACTGAGGGCTTCTGACTTTCCAGGAGTGAGAAAAGGCAGTATCTGGGCTCACCAGGGTCCATGGAACTTGTCAGGGATTCAGTGGCAGTTTCTCAGTGTACTAGCTGCCTTTCTGTCCTTAAAAGGAAAAAGAGGAAGCAGCTTACCTGCCAGGTTATTTTATGCTGTGTCTGCTTGGAGCTGCTTTCTCAGGAGTGTTAGGTTTTTTTCCTGCAGCAAGCTATTAGTGGGCATGGTGTGGATGCCACAGCCAGGGACTCCTGGCCTAGAGCGTGGGAGGGAAGGAAAGCACAAGTATTGTTGATGAATTCTGATGTCGTACGTATGCATAGAAGGGAAATGGGAAACTGTCACCTCTGATGCAGTGCTAGGTAATAGACGTTTTCAGATCCTGCAAATAACCTATGTGGTGTTTAAAGACCAAAATACACAGTCATTTTTTCAAAGCGGCAGGCCTTCAAGTGACTCAGGGATTTTTGGTGAACGGGGTCGCTGATACATGTGCGAGAAGACTTAGATAAATAGTCTAGTCATGCAGTGGGATGTCGATTCCACAGAAGGGTCAGTTGTGAGTTGCTTTACCTGTCAGGGGCTATATATTACTTCATTAAGTGGGCTATTCATAACAGTTATCCATGCCGAATGGAGAACAGCCCCATCTAAAAGGCTAATGCTTGTTTGGTGTTCTCCAAAAGTGCTGTTCTCCTCCTTCACGTTAAATTACTACTCCTCAGCTCGGTCTGCACTTGGTACAGGACTCACTCAGTTGTCTCTGCCTTCGTTTCCTCAAGTGGGAATCTAAGGATAAGGTTGATTCTGTTTCCGAGAGGTTGTAACGAATTGCTGTATAGTTTCTTTTAAAATGGTGCTTCTGAAGGAATCCCCTTTTCTCAAAAAGAATGATTTTCTGTTTGGGATGAAATCTGTAAGACAGGAAGGTTAAAACTCTTTGTGTACTGCTGGATGGTAACAAACTAACTAAAAAATAGTAAATTCAAATTATCTTCAATATAGAGTGACTTTATTGGGTCATCAGAACTAGGCCATCTACCCACAAGAAAAATTTTGTCTCTGACTTTTGCTTATTGTCAGCTGATACCAGTTGATTCCATACTTCTATTTATCAATTACTGTATATTCCTATGCAGTTCCGCTCTAAAGGCTTATTCATTACAGCAGTGATAATGTTACCTAGCTTAGTGTTGTTGACATGGGGAACATTATAAGATTATGAGGAACATGATAAGATTATAATGAAAAAAGTTATAATAAAATCATAGGTTATATCAAGAATAAATGGTACACTCAATAAACTTTTCCTGGACTTCACCAGTGGTTTGTTTGTCCCGTAAACAGATGAGTTTGCACAAGAGTTTGCTGAAATTCAAACTGCACGTGGATTTAGGCAGTGGTGTAAGCCCCGCCTTTATATAGCCTGCAAGCAGTAGAGAGACAGAAGAGATCAAGCCTGATTCAAAGCGGATGATACTTCTCTGTTTTAAATAATATTTTCTCAGACTGCTTTTAAGTTGGATAAAATTCTTTTGTGATTAATACAAAATTATCACTGTCTTTGAGTCAGCATCATTCTGTACGATTCTAAAAAGGTAATTGATACTATTATAGTGTCTCATCTGAAGCCTTCAGATGGATCATTCGGTCTGTTTGTGGAATGGTGTGGGGGAGCCTTATGTTATAAAACCGTGGCAGGGGAGAAGATATGAAATCCCACAATATACGGGTGTTTTTTTGTGGTGTGTTTATGAGAAATTTCATCCTCATTTATGCTATGGAAACCTAACATTTGTGTGATCAGTTTAAATCATTGCTGCAGTCAAAAGCAGTTCCACTTTTGGTTCCCACATCCTTCAGTGATTTGCACTACACAAAAAAACGTGGCTAGCTATACTTTGGATTCTGTGCAAACACAAGAAAAGGGTCTGAGGATGGAAAGAAGGATACGAGGAAGAGTGGACCTGTCATTTCTAGCAGAAGTGTTGTCTTACTCCCACTGGAAGAAAAGTGGCATAAATTAATAACTTCGTAGAGCAATGGCAGCTCGTGTAAATGTGGTGGCTTGCCCATGTTTGTACCTGAGGGGCGGCATTAGCTTTACCATACAGGTTGATGTTCATGATTCCTTTTGATTGAATCTATTTTGCCATGTATCATTAGAAAATCGGAGTCGGTGGATGAGATTTGAAAAAGTCAAGTGGCATTTTTAGATTATAAAAACTGTTGGACGTATACTTTGAACATGACTTGCTAAATCTCTCTAGGCAGCTATGCTCCCATTAGACAGAATGCAAAATAATGATAAAATTTACTCAGTTTCTGTGAAAGCCAGTTACATACGCCAGGACTCTTTGTCTTCTGGTTCTTTATCTTAACAATCATACTGCCCTTTTGCCCTGATTTAGGCTATACAAGCTATGTCTTGTTTATTCACATTTTGCTGTCTTTGTTCCTTTTACTAACAGCTTAACTGATCTTTGTTATGAAGTAAGTCTGAAAAAATGAATAATAATTGTTTTCTTTATTGCCCTAGCATTGACATGCTAATGTCTTCTGATAAAGAAAAGGACCCAGATGTTATTCCTGAAGATAGCAGTCTGCTAACTCTTCGGTATGTCTTTATGGTACACTCACAGTCCCCTGGTATGGGGTGGGGTGGAAAACAAGGCTAAAAGCATGGCTGGCTGCTGGATCCCTTTCCAGGCAATGATGTACCTTCTGAAGCAGTGTCCAGAAATACTCTTAAGGGCAGAAATGCCAGCTTATGATAGAATAATTGGTATGAGCCTTCTGCTCAAATGTTACTTAGGGGTTTCTTATTAAGGTGCACAGAATATGCCATCTTTCTTATTGGAAGAACTTAGGATTTCTGGACCCTAGGTACTTCTGAACTGGTGCCTATGTTTGGAGCATGCAGGGGACTTCTCATAATCCAATGCAGGAGGTTTCTCCAAAGCCTTATGAAATAAATCTGTAGCTCTTGCCTCTAGTAACCCACAGTCACATTCTAACAGCCAAAGTGTAAGTATAGAAGGTGTAGCCAGATACCTTTTTACCTGAACCCACTCCTTACAGAACTCACTTAGGCTACCGGTGCATTTCAGAGGTTGAGCAATATATGTTAAGTTTCTATCAGTTAGTGAACTTTGAAGTCATACTTGGCCAGTTCGGGCCTTTCCTGTACTTCAATTTCAGTTTGCGTAGTGCTAATGTAAAGAAATGCGTTCAGGTTGTGATCAGCATTAAGTTTGATTGTTACCGAAAACCTTCAGGAAGGTCTGGAGGGTAAATAGACTTGTCCCAGAGTTAAAAAGGATGTGGTGTTCATGCAGTGGTTAAATTAAGTGTATTTTAGTAAATATTCTATATATGATACTCTTTCTTCTACAAATGATACTGAGGTTCTTTTAGAAAAGTAACTATGTCATGGACTTGAGAGTATTTTTGGTTTTTTTTCTTGCTTTTGCTTTAACATGAATTGAATTTCTCTGAAGTGGGAGGGATAGTTGAAACAGTTCCTCAAAAGTAAGAAAGTGTTCTTTCTAGGAGAGCCTCTCCAGACAACAGTTTGTTTTTTTTCTCATAAGTGTAAAACTGCCTGCAAACAACCTGTAATTTGCACATAAAGGGAAAGAAAAACACAATCTGAAATCCACAAGCTGGCCTGTTGAACTACCAGGTTTTATGGGAGTCAGGAGACAAAGAGTATTGCACATTACTCTGTCATACTAAGACAGCTACAAACCCTGCTCTTTGAAAGCTGCACTGCAGGAGCTTGTGTCATTTAAAAATATACCTAGAGATTATGCATAGAAGTTGTTGAATGAAATTTTGTCCTGTGTTCTGCCATTCAGAATTAGAAAGAAGGCATTAGAGAGGAGAGAAGAAACAATTATTGTGGATCGGGCTTGCAGACAAGAAACTCTTGCTTATGAGATGGTAAGTTCCCTGTCATCTCTTAGGATCTCAAGACAATTCCACACAGCCAAAATCCAACTTCTGGTTGCCTCTTTTTTCATCGCTATGAATCTCTGTACAGCATAAATGTTTGCAGATAGGAGTTGGAGGGTAATGATTAAAGACATATTATAGAAAGATAGGACAGGAATGCTGCTCTTGACAGTCTGTTAGTACGGAATGTAGTAAGGAGCTCATTACCACTGTGTGACTGCTTTTATTTGGTTGCTACTAAGGCATTGTATAGGGGATCAAGTGTAGCGAGCATCATGTGAACTTACCATAGAGCTAAACAAAATGCATAATGTTTTTGGTTGTGGAGTCCTGTATTGGTATCTAAGCTTTAATGTGTAAATGATTGTGAGCTAGTTTCTGTAGGGCTGAAAGAGAAAGACAGTAAGGAACATGGTGGCAGTAAGTTCCTAATTCTGAGCATAGTAACCCAAGTTTCTCAGCCATTCTGAGCTGTCAGGAACCAGGATTATAGTCATCAGCCCCTCAAAAGCCATCTTGGATTTCCTTTAACTATTCTTAGTACCTTTTTTTAAGATTTCTTCACAACCATTGAAGTCCTAAACAGGAAAACTTAAGTTCTTAAATTCTGCAGTGCCGGAGTCCATGGCTGGAATCGGCAAGCCATGAACTACTATAAAAATTAGGGATGGAGGTATAGAGAGGAAGGAGTCTCACTTATTACTGTTAAACTTTTTTTTGCCTTGAGGTTTCCTGGTCTGTCATGAGCAATGTTGTTTCAACTGTCCAGAGGCCCAGGCACATGATGTAAACATCATGCATTAGCTGAGGTGCAACAGCTGTGTTGGGCTCTTAGTCTAGGGCATATCTGAGAAAATGTTTGCAGCAGAAATCTTCGTAAAGGATTTCAGTGAGTTAGATTTCTTATTTCTGTTTCTGAAGAACGAGCACATCATCAGTTACTGCATCCTTTAAGCAAACTGTGGTAACTGGTTTGTGTGTCAAAGCTGGTTGTGACCATGGTGTCCTAGAACAGGATGAGAGCAATAAGAAACATGAGTTTGGAAAGTGTTGCCTGAAGAAGGGAGATGCAAGGGATAGAGCAAAAGTATCTCTGAACCAAAGTCTCACAGGAGTACATGCTCCTGTTATTAAATCTGAAGAACACTTTGTGCTGGTGGGAAGTGTTTGTGCAGTCAGTATTCTCTCTTGATTTGTTTAAAAAGGAGGAAACTGACTGCCAGAGAAAAGTGCCCTCCCTCATTCTCACAGCTGGGCTCTCTCTTAAACACAAAGTAGGATGGAAATGCTTTCAATTATTTTCTAAAACGTAGAGTGACAAGGGCAGTGCTGGATTTTGGGTTTGGATTTTGGAGACATTGAAACCTCCAGCTGTGTCAAGTTTCCCTAATAAGAGGCAGTCCTGCTCTAATTTTTATTTTCATGTATTTCATCCTATAGCTAGCCTATCCAGGTCGGTCTTTCTCAAGTTGAGGGTTGCAATCCCCCTTTACATGTGAAAGCATTCAGAGAGCATTTCAAAGCATTAAGTGATGGGAGTTGGTAGCAGATGGGTTCCATGAGGGCAGAGTGGCAGCAGGGTTTAATTCCTTTATGCAGGGCCTCTCAGTAGCCAAAGAGTAGCAAGCTGTCTCTCAGTTGCTGAAAGCACCTCAGCTTCTCCAGAGCTGAGGAATGAAGGAAAATGCTTGAAATCAGTAATGGTAGGAATTTCTCGCCTTTCCATCCTGGAAGAAGTAGGCTGTTATCAATTCACAGAGCAGCGTTTCTCAGACTTTTATCCAGGGGCTATGGTATGTAAGTGGTTGCCAATATTATATATATATGTATCTTTATTTTTCCAGGAGTCACATGCAATTGGAAAGAGGCCAGACAATCCAACAGATTTAGTTGAGGAGGGAGAACTACTTTTAACTCTGAACATCTTCTATCCTGTCATATTTCAGAAGGTTGGTACTAAATTCTCTAGGTTGCATTCTGATGTCTCTTACCTACTCAGGTAATACCTTGCTTTTCCAAGCACTTAAAATCAGTGACTCCACTGAGGGACTGTGGTAAACCCTTCAACTGTGGTACCTTCTTAGGCTTTTTCAGAATCTGGCTTTCATTCTGTTCATGGTTTACAGAAGGAAATTTTTACAATAATTACGCAGCATTTAATTAATTTCACAGAGAGCTCAAAATCTGAAACTAAATACATGAAAACTATAGTACTCTGTTTGGATTTGGGGTAAGCGCACTCGGACTTACTATCTTTCCTGCACTTTGCAGTGGGGAATGTGACTTGCGTTTCTGAATAAAACTAATAAATGGCAGCCTTAGAAGAGGCTGAGGCAAGATACTGTTTAAAATCTTCCACAGAGAGGTTGTGTGCCTCATGCTGCTGTTAAGGCTGTCAAATGAAGAGCAGTACTGATGCTGACAAGAGATTTTTATTTGTAGCTTGTATGCTCTTTTCTTCATAGCATAAAGATCACAAACCCTATCAGACTGTCCTTGTACTGGGCAGCCAGAAGCTCACTGAGCTGAGAGACTCAATTTCCTGTGTCAGTGACCTCCAGATAGGTGGTGAGTTCAGCAGTCAGCCAGATCAAGCACCGGAGCACATCAGCAAGGTAAACCCTTCTATTTGGAACCCTCTCATGTGTAGGAGCTTTGAAAACATACAGGAGAGAGGGAGGCAGAGTTTTGCTTTGTTGTTTTTAATTCAGCACTAAATTAGGCTGCATTGGCTTTGCCTGTGGGTTACACTGCAAGTAAATACTTCCTGGTGGCATTACCAAGTTGACCTGTTCTGCTTCATTCCGTTTCCTTGTGTCCTGTCGCTGGTCACCAGAGAGGAGATCAGCGCCTCCCCTCTGCTGCCCCCCCATGAGGAAGTTGTACACTGGGATGAGGTCACCCCTCAGCCTTCTCTTCTCCAAGCTGAACAAGCCGAGTGACCTCAGTGGCTCCTCATAAGTCTTTCCCTCGAGGCCTTTCTTGGCCATTGTGGTCGCCCTCCTCTGCACACACTCTGGTAGTCCTATGCCCTTCTGGTATTGAGGTGCCCACACTGCACACAGGGCTTGAGGTGGGGCTGCACCCGTGCAGTGCAGAGCGGGACAGTCACCTCCCTCGAGTGGCTAGTGATGCTGTGCTTGATGCACCTCAGGGCATGGGTGGCCCTTTTGGCTGCCAGCACATAACTGCTGACCCTTACTCAGCTTGCCACCACCCCAAACCCCCAGATCTCTTTCCATGGTACTGCTCTCCAGCCTCTTGTGCCCCAGTTTGTGAAAATACAGTATGTCTCTCATTTTTAGCTTTAGGAGAGAACAGTTCTGTGAATGTGGTTGTGCAAACAGTCTGGATAGATAAACAGAACGATACTTGATTGTACTATTTAAACAAGATGTTTTCCTCTTCTTACTTATTTTGTTCTTTCTCAAGGACATGCTTGAAGCTGGAGTCTGCTTTTTTATGGATAGATTTGATTTTACCTAAATAGTTCTGTAGTCCTGCTGCAGAATTTTACATGTGTAAGGGAGGCTCATAGGTTAGCTCAGTTTCTTGAGATAATTGGAATCTGATGACTCTTGCACTGGTGGTGTGAGTGCCATAAACTGTTAATTATCTTTGATAGAGAAGACTGCAACAAATGGCCTGTCTGCATGTGACAAACTTTGTAATTAAGGAGGAATTTTGAAGGATGTTAGATTTTCTTCTGAGCCCCCAGAAGTGAGGCAATTGGATCTTCCAAAACTGCGTGTCTGTCTTGTTTATATAGATGTGACTAGGGACTGCTCCCATGTAGCTGTCTTGTGTGTGCACGTGCACGTGAGCGCAGGGGACAGGACAGCAATAATTCTCTGTCATTCCAGCAAAAAGTATGTTGTGGTGTGGTCTGTCCTGATCAGGTGCACTGGGTCTGACTGGGATGGAGGTAACTTTCCTCACAGCAGCCAATGCTTTGCATTTTTGGCTAGGCAGGGTTGATAACACAGGAGTGTTTTGGCTGTTCCTGAGCAGTGCTTGCCCAGCCTCAGGGGGTGTCTCCAGGTCCCCTCAAGGCCAGTGGGCTGGGGGTGGGCAAGAGACTGGGAGGGGACACAGCTGGGACAGCTGACCCCAGCTGACCGAAGGGATATCGTGCTCAGCGTATAGAGCTGGAGGAGAGGAGGAGGGGGGCTGTTCATGGTTAAGGCATTTGGCTTCCAAAGCAACCACTATTCGTGCTGAGGCCCTGCTTCCCAGGAGGTGGTTGGACGTCGCTTGCTGATGGGAAGTAGGGAACAGATCTCCTCTTTTTGCTTTGCTTCTGTGTGTGGCCTTTGCTTTTCTCATTAAACTGCCTCTATCTCAACCCACAAGCTTGCCTGTCTTATTTCCCCTGTCCTGTTGAGGAGGGGGAGTTACAGAGCAGCTGGGTGGGGGGTCTGGCAGCCAGCCAAGGTCAACTCACTACATCTTGCTATTTTTTTAAAATATTAGTCTTTTAAGTCAGTGCTATGCAGTTACTTAATTTGTGCAGCGATGCTTGCATTCTTGTTCTGTGTTTTTGTGGAAATCTGTAACTGCTATAATGGGGATAGCGATGAGAGGAGCACTAAAATAACCTGCAATGGCTTGAGAATAATATCAACAGAGCAACTGCATAGCTGGCGATCATATAAGCCTTGTTGTCATGTCAGCATCTAAAACCTGTGCAAAGCTTTTCTTACAAACCTGTAGAATGAGGTCTCTTAGTATAATTTAGACACCTAAAGTGCTTGGGGTTTGACATGTTTTTGTTTAAGGTGTTTAATCTCTCATAACACTAATGCAGACTTACCTGTCTTTCTCTCTCAGGATCTCTACAAATCTGCTTTCTTTTATTTTGAAGGCATCTTTTATAATGATAGAAGATACCCAGAGTGCAGAGATCTGAGCAGGTACAGTATTTGTAGACGTTGACTAAGGAAAACCTTAAGAGACAGAAAATTTATTTCATTTTGTTTATGATTTGTGATGTTTTTAAGATTGGAATGTCTAGTGTATGAAGCTAGAATGGAGTATTCTTACTATCTTTTCATATTGAATTGATTTTTACATAGAATTTTTGACTTTACTTGCTCTACTTACTCCTTCCACTCACTTCCCTTCTGAAAAGGCGATGAATGCGTTTTTCCCCCTGCAAATCCTGGTTTGCTCTATTGGGATGGGATCGCTGTGGAAGGTGCCAGGTGCCAGTCTGTACTAGCTGCCTTCCCTAGTTGTGATGACCACCAAAAGATTTGCCTGCGAGGTAGAAGGTGGGTCAGAAAGGCAACAAGCTGACCTGTGCGGAAGTCAGTTGTTCTGCTCAGTCTTAAAATACGCTGAATGCCTTCATGGTAAAGTCAACAGGGGGGCTGTGTGACTTCTGGGAAAAAAAATCCAAGATGACATTGCTAAGAGTCTCAGGTATCTCTTGTTCAGAACTATAGCTCACACTGGTTGAGCACGAGTCCTATCCATTTTAACTGTACATAGTAGGTTTTTTTAAGGAAATAGGGGCTTGCTGACACACTAAGTGAGATGTGGGAGATTGAGATGTTAAAGTGAGTGGGAGATCTGTGAGTTTGGACTCTGTTCTTGTTATGCCAGACTTGGTGTGTGACTTCAGAAAAATTAATTATTTTGCTCCTTCTTTTCCTGTCCCTGAGCAACAATGATCTTTATGGAAGGGCTGGTGAGAACATCTGCATTTTGTGGAAGTGAAATGCCTTGTATATAGGAGTGTGCTGAAAAACCAAGAAATAATCGCAACAGTGGCCCATTCTCTTCCAGTACTAAATTTTGGAAGTGTAACTGTGCAGTTGCCAGCTTTGCGTTTCTCCTTGACAAAAACAAAAAAAGAGCTTTTTAATACTTTAAAACAAAGTTATCGACCAAGGGAGCAAAAATGGTAACTTGAATTATTGGAATGCTCGAGAAGTGTCGTGCTGCAAACAGCGTGACCTGGATGGGTGCCATCAGGAGCGTACTCTGACTAGAACTCCTTGGGAAGCTGCCTGGGGGGGGGTGTGGAATTTAAAGGCAGGTGTTCCATAAGAACAGTGCACAGTTCTGTGGGGTTGTGGTATCAGTGTGAAATTACCTTAAATTATTACGAAATATTGTGAGCTGTTTTGATTTCCATCTTTTTAAACTGTGTCCCAATGAAGAGTTTTGCACGTCCCCCAAGGCCTTCCTTTTCTGTGCATTCACATTTTATAGCATCACTGTGCTGATGACCTTTCTGTTTTCAGAACAATTATTGAGTGGTCAGAATCTCATGACAGAGGTTATGGAAATCTTCAGTCTGTTAAAATGGAGGACTACATGTTTAATGATTTGTCCCTCAAAATTGGCTTTCCATACCTTTTCTGCCACCAAGGGAACTGTGAGCACATCATTATCGTCACAGATATAAGGTAAGTTACTGCTCTTTGGGAGTCCTTAGTCAGTTGAAAACAAGCCTTCTGTGGACAAACTTCGGGCATTAAATGCTGCATGTTTGTTAGACTAACTTCAAGATTATTGGGCTGCCTTCTGCAGGGCTTATTTAGGATTTTATTCCATATACATCTGACTACCTCTGCAAGGAAGAAAGTAATCTCCCTTGCATTTTTTTTTTAAATAATTTGTCTGCATAAAAAGACTGCTTTCTAACTAGCATGGAATGACTGTGGTATGGGAGGAATAGCACCCACAGTGAAAAGCCCTTTCTATGCAGAGCCAATGTGTCAGATTCACATACTGATTCTGCAGCACCAGGCAGCAGAAATGCTGTTAATGGCTCTGGCTGAAGTCAACTGGACTTGTTAGTTTAGACTTGGTGCTAAGGGATAGGAACTGAAAAGAGAACAAAGGAGTGGAAATAGTGGGCTGAGGTGGGTAGGCAAGGGAGAGAAGGAGGAGGTGATAGTGCTGTGAGGTGGGAACCACATCAACAGTAGAACTGTTGTGTGTACTCTGCTCAGTGCGTAACAGACAGAGTGCACTCCTCTGATTGCCCATCGTGGGTGACGGATCACTTTCAGTTCCCAGAAGCCTGGTGTACCTAAGCATTGTTAATAAATGGTGACTCCCAAGAGAAATACAACCCAAAGAAGGGCATGGATGTTGCAGGTAGATGATCTTGGCAGTATGAGCATCTAAACATTTACCTGGAGATGTTTTTGCCAGTTAATCTATGTAGGCAATAAAAAACTTCGAAAAGAACAGTAAAGTAGATGGTCTGAAGACTTCCGAGTTTCTACACAAACTGAATTTACTCCTAACCATAAAATCCATGGATGGTGCAACCAGCAGTCCAACTCCAGGTCTTCATCTGTTAGGAAGTGCTAAGCGGAAGTCTAGTCATAGTTCAGACAGGATTTTAAATCGTGCTTGTCTTCAGTGTCTGTGCTTATGTTCAGATAAATTCCAATGTGGCTGAGTCTTAATTGTATTTTACATGTTTATTTATTTGCCTCAAGGCTTATTCACCATGATGACTGCCTGGACAGGAACCTCTATCCCTTGCTAATCAAGAAACACTGGTTATGTACCAGAAAATGCTTTGTGTGCAAAATGTATACAGCCAGGTATGCTACATTCTTGGTCCTTTTCAGTTGTCTTCTTAAATAAGCCTTTCTAGGTGCTGCTACTAACTTAAAAAAAAAATATCAAAGCTCTGTATGTATTTGATAAGGTGTGTGGATAATCTTCATGCAAGTATTCTAAGGTATTGCTCTTCAGGTGGTTGCCTTCTCCTTACCCAGGAAAAGGCCTCCTGCAGGTAGTGTTTATTTGGATGATGATTCCGTATGATCAAAAGAAGTGAAATGAGGAAGATGTTAATTACTTGGCTCGGGTTCTTTTGTATACATAGATCTTGATCAGTTACTTTTGACAATTTTACTTTTGGGGGAAAATGCTGCATTTTCCCCCCGTGACACGACATGTGATTCAAATTCATTTGGCAGAAGTCGTACAGAGCTTTCATGAAATCTAACATCTAAATATAGGGAAGTTTGGATCTGTCCAACTTGAACATAGTAAAATCCAGAGATTTTTTAAAAGGGCACATAGCTTTCCTCACAGGTAAACTCCTAACCCCTACCTGAAAACTCTTGAGCTGTGCAGCTGCACTTGAAGGAACTTTTTGTAATGCACAGGTTTTCTGCAGTGAAGAGAGCAGAATGTGAATTCGGTGGTCTTTGTACACTTCAGTTCTGTTTACTTAGACATGAGAAAACCTTTCAATAGACACAGCAGAAATTTCTCTATAGGGGTTCTACAGACTAGGCTAGGCTCACGGATTTTATAGGTCTGCATGATTTATATACAAACCCACTCGCTTCCCTTTTTCCCCCCCAGGGCAGCTTACACTCTCAGCCTCAGTTTGACACAGCAGCTGTGTCCTTGTTATCTTGCCTGTTTGGCCTTAGACTTCCCTGGAATCAGGCAAAGAGCCAATTTCCCCCGTGGTGGGAGCCCACCGTGGTGTTCCTAGCAGAGCCCCGAGGATGCCTTCGCAAGTGGCTGTAATCTGCGAGGCTTTTGGCCATAAGGGGAGGTGGAGCCAAAGGGTCAATATGGGGGAAAGATGGGATGGGGAGGGCATTACCAGAGGTGATGTAAATGCATTAAATTAAAACCAGGATTAAGCACTAAGCTTAAGTGGGGAGATGCTAAATCATGGATAGCAGAGCTGCTTTGGCTGGCTGTCCTGCATGTTCTAATCTGTGCAGATAGCATCTTTAATCGCTAGAGGCCTTGAGCTGTCATGGCCTCTGAGTGCTACCATAAATTAATTGCTTGGTGACACGGCAGGCCCTCCTTGTGCTGGCAGCCGTGTTCGTGTTAACTTTGGTGCTTGCTGGAGCATGCAGCAGCAATCCTCTCCTTGTCTTGTCTGCATCATCCAGCCCTTCTTTTAGACTTGTAAATGGATTTGGTTATTACTCAAGAGTAGTTTGGGTCAGTCACGTGTCTGCTCTGTATCACAGTTTCCTACCTTAAGGGAAAATATCTTTCATGGCTTAGATGGCCATAGTGTGATTCCTGTTAATTTTTTTCTTTTTTTGGGCTATGTACCAGCCACAGAGGTGTGAGAGTACCTCAGGAAATGCTGCTGTAGCAGTGTAAGGTAGCAGCTGGGATTGACACTGAACGGGTGTGGGAGTTCGGAAAAGAGCTGTGTTCCTGGGGTGGGAGATGGGCAGTATTGGTAGTACCTGGTCAGCATAATGTTATTACGGATGTTTGTTACTGCCATTCCCAACTCTGAGTAAAATGCTGAGATGTTTGTCACCAATGTGTTGGACTCACATGGAAAACACTTGTCTTTTGTAACCTGCAGGTGGGTAACCAACAAAGACAGTCTGGCACCAGAGGATCCTTGTTTCTTCTGTGATGTTTGTTTTCGGATGCTCCATTATGATGTGGAAGGCAATAAACTGGGGGAGTTTCTTGCTTATCCTTATGTCGATCCTGGGATTTTCAACTGAGACTGACACGAGCCGGAATGAATTCAATGAACTGCATGGGTGAATCTGTTGCTTTGGCTGTTAAAATCACCAAACAGCTTGAGTTTTGAGCATACTGCTGGGTTTTGGGTTAGGCTTTTAATCCTCTCCCCTGAGGTGCAAGGAGCCCTTTACACTTGAGGTCTTTCCGGTGTACTTCTATGAGTAGGTGTGATTTTAAAAGTTAAGTTAGCATAGAAAAATGTGCTCAGACATCTACTTTATTTTAATTGGTTACATTTTTTAATACTCTTTGACAACAATACGGTAGTTTGGAGACTACGGACTCTGAAAATACGGATGTTTAAAGAGAGGATACCTTGCAAAAACAGCCACGATTTTAAGAAGTTCTGTGCATCCAAGGCTCTGTTAACCTCAAAGCCTGAGCAGATGGTCATTGGGCATTTTACCTTGAAAACTCTGGCAATTGTCATCTCTGAACAAGGGTGGGTAGCACTGAATTTGTGGGGAAGAACGGTTTCTGAGAGAGAAGCTCAGAGTGCTTGTTAAGGTCTAAGGCCTTTCCTGCAAATGGGAGTTGCTTGCGCCTGTGAGCCTTGGCTGTCCTTGTGTTCTGACTCCAAGGACTCATTCTGTGCAGAGCAAACTACATTTCACTGGTGACTGAATTGCAGCCTGCCTTTCAAATGACTCTGCTAACTGTTTACAGTGCACGTGGTTTTAACTCTTTCTGCAGTGGGATGTTCATTGCGCGCTTCTTTTTTTACTGTCATTTCCTTATTGTAAGTATTGTTGGTTTTTATTAAAAAATGACCAATTTGCACTTGCTGGTCTGATGTAAGTTGAAACTCTGCTTGCCAAAACAGAACATACTTATGCAGTGCCTTGCTTTTCAAAGTCATCTGGAATTCAAAGGATTTTACTGGGGATCTTTCCTGTTTATGAAAGCTCGTGGCACTAACTGCTTTTCTTTTGAAAGCTTCATCTGGTTCTCAAAAAAGCCTAGTTCTGGTTGGTGTAAAAGACAGCTGACTCTGATAACCTGCATATAGACATGTATTTGACAAATTGGATTCTGTTCAGGTCCTGCAGCCACAAAGTCTGCAAGCACTTACTTGATTCCCTTAGATGTCTTGAAACAGGAGAGTCTTAAGCGATTTCAGGACTCCATTCATCGCTCACGTATCTGACTGCTTTCCACTGGTGTATCAGGTCACGTGAATATAAATCTGTCCTTTTTTTAGGACAAAAGAAAAAAAAAGGGGGTATTGGGGGGGGCGGGGG